AGAGGAGTGACGACAATATGCTGTCAAACGTTAAACTCAAGAGATTGAACTCCGGTAGAGAGAGAGAGAGAGAAGTTTTGTTTAATTTATTATTTACTCAATAGTTTTTTTTGTATCACAAAATATCTTGTAATACCGATGAGAGCCTAAGGACTACCACTGATATAGATGTGTATAAATAAGGATTTTATTTGTTATAAAAGATATTTCTTATTAAAAATGACATTTTGGATCACTTTTTCTCGTTGTTATTATTTTGTAGTGATATATACAGTGAGATAATTGCACTGTTAGGGCACTTGTATGTTGTCTATCCATCGTTTTAGTCGACGAGAGACTATTACATTTTTTTCTCGACAATAAATATATTTCTTATCCCTATTTTTATTTCAATAATGACTACAATTTACTAGTTATGCAATGCTATCGTATGGCTATAATATGCGTTTGGATTTTATATTTTGTTTCTCATTATATGATTCCCAATAGTAAAAGAAATTTTGCTATAATTTAAATTTATGTTGGTATTAATTATAAATATTATTTAGTTAGTTTTATTTATGTTATAATTAAAATGAAAATTTAACCAGGATTACTGGTGTTTGTAGAAAATAATTGTCAATTTAATTTGAATTATAGTCAAAGAGGGGATTATCCGCACAAATAATTGCATTCATTGTTTAGATAGAGATCTAAAGGTATGTCTGGATTTTTGGGACTCAGAAATCGATATTTTAATAAAAACTGAGAATTTTGTTGTTGTTTTCGCTATTGATATAAGAAAAATAGTCCGGATTTTATTTGCCATAAAATCCTTGGGAAATATGCCGTAAAATACTGTGTATTTGTGTTTTTCATTATTTGTTAACCATTTTCTGTTACACATTGTATGTTTTATTTGTTAGTGAATTGATTGGAGTTAACAGAAAATCCAAACAAACAAAAAACACTGCAATAACACAACCAAAAGGATTGACAAAACTTACGGACAACTCCTTTATCTAAATGCTCGACATATGAGACAAAACACAACTGTTGAACAATTGATGGATGGATTCGTCGGAATAGTTTCAGTGACTTTAACTTCTTGTAGATTACCTCCAGGTCTTCATCTGTTCTGTCCGATGGTCTGTGAAATGAACAAAAATAAGACAACAAATTATATTTTAACCGTTTGTCTGTTGGGAATAAAATCTAGGATTTTATGTGTGTTTTATATTTCATTTCATACGAGTTTCTGTAGATTAAAGAAAGTATTATTTTTTAAAACTTTTATTTTTTGTTAAATAAATATTTTCAATTTTCCCTTTTTACTGATTCTCTCTCTCTCTCTCTCTCTTATATATACTGTATATATATATTCTTTTGTGTATATATTCACAGATTTATTACGATTTGTTTGCGATATATATTTTCTCCTTTCTATTAAAAAGTTTTTTTTATATTGTTTTAATTAAAATAAGTTATGCCACCTGTTTGGTGGATAAACATGATAAATGGTATTAGAATACTACAATAAACACACATTTTGTCAAAAAAAATGGTATTAGTATTTTTATTTCGCACAAAAATCCTAATATTGTACAAATTTATTGATAAATTCTTAATGAAAATGCAATTTTTATATATTTTACGAAAGCGTTTGGGAATACAATATAAGAACCGAATAGTTTAATACTTGCGACGAAAATTTATGTAACAATTATAATTACTTATTCTCTTTGTAGCACAACTTATGTATTTATATATTTAGAAATAGATGCATTCATAATATGTATATCATTTAATCTGTTTCCATAATATTATGCAAAAAATAATTCATATATTAATAATTACAGAAGTAATTAATGTTTGCATTAGAAATGTCAGCTCCAAATCATATGACCGATAGTGTATATACTGTATACAACACTCGGTTAAACCAAAAGTCGCTTTTATTGCTAAATATACAGTCCATGAATTACAATGTATACTAAATCGGGGCAATTAATCACAATCTGTACAGCACTGGGCGGTTATGCCTTAAACCAAATCTATTATTATATCACATTTGTTGCGATAGACAAGAGAAAAATGATACATAACATGTAGGCATAGAAATATGTCATTAAAATATGACCGACAGTGAAATTTACATTTCTTTTTTGACACATACACTGAAAATCCATTTGTTTTATGATTAGAGAGAGAGAGAGAGAGAGAGAGAGAGAGAGAAGTAGGCATAGAAATATGTCATTAAAATATGACCGACAGTGAAATTTACATTTCTTTTTTGACACATACACTGAAAATCCATTTGTTTTATGATTAGAGAGAGAGAGAGAGAGAGAGAGAGAGATAGTGTTATATAAAAAATTATGTTCAAAACAATTGTTATTGACATTTATCCTCAGGTCATACACTCTATATCTACTGTTAAAATGTATTAAACATTGAATATTTAGTGTTAAAATAATATAAATCTTTCGGCGTTCAGGGATTGAAGAGAAAATCTTTAATACACTTTATGTGAGATATGAATATAAGTGCTGTAAATTAACATTAATTTCTAGAAATCTATGTAATAATTATGATATTTATACATTGATATAAAATATTTATGCATTTCAGTGATGAACAGCAATTTAATCTCATAAATATAAACTCAAAATTTATGTATTTATTTGAAAATTATTCTTAACTAAAAAAATCTGTTTTCACAAAAATATAGATATATTTGAAAATTTAAATATTTATGTAAATATTGCGCTCCAAAAAAGTTAGTTATTTATTTAAGAGCATTAACTGATTATAATATGATATTATAATATTATTAATATCAATGCCAGTATAACGCACTACCTGTAAATCACCATGTACATTAAAAACAAAAAATTTCCACGTTGTAATAATACAAAGTTGGTTATCAGAATATAATAGTTTGATTACTGTATTGAATACAATAGACAAAACTGATTACAATTGACATTTAAATCACAATAACGTGTGAAAAACACTGCAAAACAATAGTCTAACGATTGCCGGAGCCATCGATGGCTACCAATATTATCGCAACCAATCTTTACCAACAAAGAGATCATACAATTGGGATTCAATTGGGATTCTCACGCATAATATATACTCTCATTTAATAATATAATCAAAATAATAATAAAAATCTATTGTGAATGCGAGCAGATGTTTGAATGCAAAAAGTCTGTGTGTACTGTATATCACATACACGTTAGATATTAATTCATACTTTCATTGGTATACCAATGGGTTTTTGCATCCAATGCTGGCAAACGTTTACAGATTTAATATCACATAATCTGTATTTATATACCATATAATGTTTTATTTTCAACCATAACAGTGGTATTAATAGTGTGCGAGTGGTTATATAAACAAGTGATTGTGGTGATTTGTCTCTATCGATATGTACAGTATTATTAAATATACCCCTATTTTTATGTATGATTTCGTTCACCGCAATAATAAAAGTAATTTGATTTATATATAGAATTACAATAGAAAATAGTGGGATATAAATAGATTCTGTGCGCAAAACACACACCATTAATACATTTATATACAGACTGTGTTTTGATAGTGTATTAATTTTTACTTTTGGTGTAAAAATATTATTATTATTTAATAACTATATTTATAAAAAATATTTATATTTGAATGCAAACCCAAATTCAATGGGCTTAATAAGTGTAAGAATTTCTTTTATGTTAATTCATTGCCTGTTTAATACATTTATATAAAATGTGAATTATATTTATAGTGAGAATTTTGTCTACAAATATTAATATTCAGTAATATTCTGTTAAATATGAAAAGTGTGAATATTCTGTGCCATTCTCTAAGCAAATGGGATATAATTAATGAGCTTTTCATTAGACAATCAGTGCATTAAACACATTATATATTAAAACCGCAGAAATACAGCCAAATTTATGTATAATTAATTTATTTTTGTCAATTATTTTCAGTCAAGAGCTTTGTTTATATCAAATACATAGAGATTACCCACACATCAGTTATTCATTAAAAGGATTAAGAATATATTTAACACCATTATATTAAGCCCTGATTTAAATAACCTAGATTGTGTATTGTAAGGGCCTATAATTTTGTATGGATTTGCAAACTGTTAAGATAACCAAGAAAAAACAAATCCGCAAAATCTGCCACAAAGTCGCTAACAATTTGATTGTAAAACATAAGAGAGAAAACTGTTATATAATTTGTGTTTCTATTGCCGACAAATACATCAACAAAATATACATTGTATTAAACACAAAACACATTGTATTTTTGTGTTTTGCATATAAATCGGTGTTTTATATGCGTTAATGAATGGATACAAACAACTGTTACATCCATTTGAATATTATTATTGTTTTCGGTTTTCGGCGAAAAATTGTTTCTTCGCTTTTATTAATACATGTTTTTATGGTTTCGACGAAAAAATATTGTTTTGTGTTTTACAAGAAATTTTACGCTAAATTAATTCATTGTTTTACGATTAAAAGCCATACAAACTAATTGCTAAATATGTTTAATCGCCGCCGCGTTTACACCATTGGATCGAAGGTGATATCAAATTGTGTTCATAATCATTATAAATAGCCATAAATTTAATATTAATATTAATGTGCATTTCTATGGCTTTCGTATCGTATTGTTTGATATAAATTATTTAAATGACTCATAGTTTTGATAAAACAATCAATGTTTTCATATAATCACTCACTACTAGCTCTCTCTCTCTCTCTCTCTCTCTCTCTCTCCAGACTGTCTTTATCTCTATTTCTCTCTTCTATGGATTATTGAGTGATTTTATTGAAACACTTTTCAAGTAAAATGATTACTGAAAAGATATACTGTATTTCTCCGTATATTATATTAGTTGTTAAACAAATTCAATAATAATTTTTGTGTAAAAAAGTCATTTGAATTTCAAATTGAGATATAATTTATTTGTATTTTATGTTCTCTCTCTCTCTCTCTCTCTCTCTCTCTCTCTCTCTCCATAAAATATATTAAATTTGAGGCACAATTAGTATTAAAGAGTGAAATATGAAATAACTTTCTCTACGAAATGATAAGAATGAGATTTAAACTAATATTATGTTAAATGCATATAATATTAGTTTTGAAAACCCATTTCCTTAGAGTTTATTCTCGATTTAACGCTCCATTAATTGCAATGAAATCTGAAGATTGGGTTTGAAGTGAAAAATTCAACAAGAATTTCAAAATTTAATTTCAATTTTACTTTAAAAATACAATTTCATGAGTGGATGGATAACGAGATGAGAGAGAGAGAGAGAGAGAGAGAGAGAATAACAACTAATATAATATACGGAGAAATACAGTATATCTTTTCAGTAATCATTTTACTTGAAAAGTGTTTCAATAATCACTCAATAATCCATAGAAGAGAGAAATAGAGATAAAGACAGTCTGGAGAGAGAGAGAGAGAGAGAGAGAGTCATTTACTTGAGTTGTGTCAAGTAATTTAGTTATGATTATTGTTTTTTAACCAGTAAATATATAAAATTATATAAATATTAATATTTTAAATTATCATAATTTACATGATTAATAAAACCGCAAACATATTTCCGGTCATAGCATTCACTCATTGATTAGATTATTTCAAATTTAAATCACAAGTATTTAATGAAAGTTGAATGTAATGTTGATTTCGTATGATTTCCAATAGGATGTGGAGACCGTATGCACTCTGGGTGTTGGCACGGCTTTCGGGGAATCAGGTTCGGTCACTTATTAATTTGTCCATATTCATTTAAAAGTCATAATTTTACGTTATAAGGATATACATGTATGTCTGATCATGATTGTATAATTACAATAATAAGTTATTGATAACATTATTAATAACTATCAATACAAAATTACAATAATATATTGATAGCAATCGTAGAGTTAATAGTTATATTAATCGTTAGAATTGTATCAAGATTACATGAGATTATGATAATTATATTTACATTTTTAAAATTAACATTTATTTACAATTTAAAAATTAATAACAATCCATTAAATGTTGTTCTGGTTTTTACACCAAATCTTTATAGCAATCAATAATTAAAATATGTTAACATAAAAAACAAAACCAAAACCATTGCTCTCATCAAATGATTTATCAAAATGTGTTATCAGATTCACTAAACCTTGTAATTGTTATTATACGGTCTATAAATCATTAATCTAGTTTAATAATCAGCTAATATACCGTATATATGACTAGGTTAGTGGTCAGACATATATTTGATGATGAAACTTTAGCATAAGAATTTAACATAAATACGACAATGAATTAATGAATGCATTGACATTGCCATTGGCAGTGTTGGGCGACGGCAGTCACTCGCACTCGATCATCACTCAAGAGCCGTGTACTCTACTCCGTGTCAAACGGCTGGACTTCCAGGACCTCTGGAACCATAAGTCACATCTCATGCAAGAGATTGTGGCCAACTGTTACGATAACAAATCCGGTGCCACCAAACGGGTGTCCGACCCGTCCATCTCATCCCTTCACTTGGACTCCATCGACGAGAATAACCACATTAACGACGAGTCGGTCGATAATTATACCAATTTGTCGCTTATAAATACCGAGATTCCCGAGAATGTGAGTATAACCTTGATTAATTTACTTTTATTGCTTATTGTTCCATTATGCTTACATTTATTAATTTTTATTTACATAGTTATTGTTAATTTCAGAGAGAGAGAGAGAGAGAGCGAGAGAGAAAACAATTTCTTAATTATAGTCATAAAAACATTTGAAGTGATAAATTATGAGTAGAGAGAGAGAGAGAGAGAGAGAGAGAATATTCATTTAAAATGAGAGAAATAACAAATAAAAATAGTTTTTATAAACAATTAAACATACAATTGAAAGTTTTCTGTGAAATCTCATGACAAATACGATTGAATGCAAAATATTTGGACGAAAATTATATGTTTTGACATTTTATAAAGAAAATAAATATAAATTCTTTAAGGAATTGTTTTGTTTGTTAATATTGTTATACTATTACTAAATGAACTCGTTTTGTCTATTATTTTAATTTAATTTTTTAATTAATATAAAATGCAAATTTTCTAAACCACGGCACAATTAAAAGTGTTTTTATGCAAATAATTAATTTTAATAAAAATAAATTTACAAAAACAGTTAAATTGAATGGTATTTAAGAAAATACTTTTCCTAATGCTATAAAAAGTGACAATTTATGCGCTAAAGAGCATGAGATGTCCGTCAATGATACCAATGATGCAACAATTCATAGAGAGAGAGAGAGAGAGAGAGAGAGAGTTTGGGTATAAATAAGGAAAGAGAGAAAGATATAGAGAATGGAGTGTTGGGCTACGGATGGTAGCGATGGTGAAGGCATGCAATCCATGAAATCAAAGTCATCGGTGCGGCAATTGCTGACAATTAACCGCTTTGTGAGCACTGGGTCTCAGACTCACCGATAGAAAGAGAGAAAGTAGTCACTAATTTGCAGTCAATGAGACACTCGGCTCTCTCTCTCTCTCTCTCTCTCTCTCTCTCTTTCATATATATTTTCTTTTGTGTTCACAGATTTATTACGATTTGTTTGCAATATATATTTTCTCCTTTCTATTAAAAAGTTTTTTATATTGTTTTAATTAAAATAAGTTATGCCACCTGTTTGTTTGGTAAACATGATAAATGATATTCAAATACTACAATATACTTTACACACATTTTGTCAAAAATCATATTAATATTTTTGTTTCGCACAAAAATCCTAATATTGTACAAATTTATTGATAAATTCTTAGTGAAAATGCGATTTTCATATATTTTACGAAAGCGTTTGGGAATACGATATAAGAACTGAATAGTTTAATACTTGCGACGAAAATATACAATTATAATTACTTATTCTCTTTGTAACACAACTTATGTATTTATAATATTTAAAAATAGATGCATTCATAATATGTATATCATATAAATTATATATATGATATGATATAATCTGTTTGCATAATATTATGCAAATAATTCATATATTAATAATTACAGAAGTAATTAATGTTTGCATTAGAAATGTCAGCTCCAAATCATATGACCGATAGTGTATATACTGTATACAGCACTCGGTTAAACCAAAAGTCGCTTTTATTGCTAAATATACAGTCCATGAATTACAATGTATACTAAATCGGGGCAATTAATCACAATCTGTACAGCACTGGGCGGTTATGCCTTAAACCAAATCTATTATTATATCACATTTGTTGCGATAGACAAGAGAAAAATGATACATAACATGTAGGTATAGAAATATGTCATTAAAATATGACCGACAGTGAAATTT